TGTTAGTGCGATTGATGTTAGGAATAATTTGAAGTTTATCAGATAACTTATTCTTCCTCTGTGTTTCTGAAACAGGTTGAACTAGAGAGATTACGTCTCCTTTGTGAAAGAATTGTCAAACGTGAAAAAATAAAGGTAATCATTTGTAAAATTTGCCATAAGAATCTCAATTGTTCTTACTTTCCTTCATTTGGCAATTATTACTGATGAAATTTAATTGCCATTCTCATAGTGATATATAGAATCTCTATGTAGCATTTTCAATTAGGTTGTAGATTCTCATGTTTGGATTTTCTTTAACTTTGTGTCATGCATGGCGATTTTTATTTACTTTTAGTATTGTGGGCATTTGCAGCGGGAATTAGTACTATGTTCACATGACATACTTGCCTTTAAGAGAGATAATGTTGCGAGGTCTGTGCTAGTTCACAGCCCTTTCATCCTTCCTGATGGTAGTTCAGAATCAGCTACAACGTCTCTAAAAGGGAACACAGAGGGATACAGATCATGCAGTGAACCTCCCCAAAGATCAGATGATGTTACTGTTGACAGTTCTATTTCTGCTAAGCGCCGTGTCAGAGTTGCCATATCTATGGATGCAGACCCAAAATTGGATGATGACTGTTCAACCTCCCAGAGCAAATATAACCACAAGATTCCAGAAAGAACACAATTTTCTGGCAAGAAGATTCCTCATAGAGCTGCTGCATCACGAAATATTTTGGATGAAGGTGGATGGAGATCCAAATCTAGAAAGGTGAGTAATGACAGACTTCAATGTTTAATTATCATTTTTTAATTTTTCAATGAGATATGTAGTTTGTGGCTTATGGATTTAATGGGAGAATTTCTTAAGTCTGTCTTTGCAATTGCAGCATGCCGAAACATTTGGAAAAGAGCTTGTTATGACGTCAGATGAAGCGTCTATGAAGAATTCAAGGCTGCCAAAAGGATATGCATATGTTCCTGCTGATTGTCTGTCAAATGACAAGCACTCTAACGAGGATATGTATGCTAGTGGGCCTGTGGAGCATGACAGATAGTGTTGGATCCCAGCCTGGTTCTTTATTTTGCCCTCGAGGCTGACATCCATAATAATTGATGCCATGCGATTTTGCGCTTGGGGGATTTTATTTGAAAATGGAAAAAAGTAGAGATAGGGTTGATCACACTGAATTGTTGCAAAATGTTGCTTTCTGGTATGCGGGGCAAGTTTTGTTAGCATTGTTGTACATTCCTTATGAGAGTAAACTGTACAGTGGATGAGCATTTCTTGCATTTACTTGTATTAGAAGGGGGCATGCCTTCCGTTTTATTGACACTAGTGGGAATGATCGAACGGAAGCATTCCTTGTAATCATCATCATACAAGGGAGGATCAGGGATTCACCTGTTTTTCTGTAAAGTTGATGTACATATTTTATGACAGTCGTAGTAATCTGAAAGGGATCGTGCTCGGCATCAGATTCACGAGCATATAAATTATATTCAACTTCCACCTAAATTTGTATTTCCCCCTTTATGCTGCATTTCTATGATGATGATTCTTGTGATTACTGAAATCCCTGATATCATAAATTGTAATGTAGGTAGTGATAGTTGATCTATGCATTTTTATTGTCGAAAAACCCTTTTCTTTTTAACTGCTAGATCAAACCTCTTGTATTAGCTGAATAAAAAACAAAGTGCTTCATGACATTCGTCGTACTTTGCATGGAGGTGACTTTTGAGTAGTGTTTTGAAACACTTCTAGAAAATGATTTCCATAAAAAGATTTCTAGAATAAAATTTTTAAAACGGGATTTTCGGAAGAAACTATGCATTCTAGAATGAATTTTAATAAATTGAATAAGCTTTTTAGAACATGAGATTTGTTTCGGAACACGACTTTTAAAACAAGATTTCTGGAATATGTCTTGGAACAAAATTTTCGGAAGCTTATCACTAACCTCACCGTTTTATTCTCTTCTTTTCGTAAAGTGCAACGGTGATGGAGAACGGAGTTGTAGTTTGAGGTATAGTAGTGATTGAGCAGCAGAAGTAACTCACCATTTTATTCCCTCTTAAAGAGTGCAGCATACAGTGAAAAGGCTTTGATTTTCTTTGAGGTGCAGAAAGAAAAGAATCATGGTGATTCAACGAAAGTTTGGGAACTGGGCTTTATCTTTACCCATTATTTTCTGAATTGTGTGATCCATTGTTCAAACAATTTGTTTAAATAAGACAAACTATCTGCTTTTTATATTGTTGATTTGTGATCTATTCATTTATATGTATACTTTAATTATTTATATGTTGTTTAAATCAACCTTTGAACGTTTCTTTGTCCTTAGGATGTAAAATAAGGGCCATTCTCGTTGTCTACACAAACAATTTGTGTCTACATAGCCAGTCAATCGTTCACTTTGTTGGGTGAGTTTTAATTTTAAGAAAACCAATTGTTCTTGAAAATATTTTAAAAAATTGAATGAGTTACTATTGATTTTAAAATTATTGAATTAAAGTTTAGTTTATTATTACTTGTCATTTTTAAGGCTTTAGATTTGACCTCAACTGCCATTAATGTGTTAAATATGTGACCTCGACTACAAGGTAAAAACATTTTTGCTTGTTTTCTTCTTCCCATTACATTCATTTGCTTGATTTCTATTTAACGTTCTTTTCAAATTTTGCCTCGTTTGACAGGCTTAATTAGTTTTAAGTCTTCCATATATTATCTAATATTGTTTTGAGAGGTCAATTTATTGTTTTTAACTCAAGCTTCTTTTGAAAAAAAAAGTATTTATATTAAAAAGTGAATTTAATCTAATTTAGTCTCAAAATGATAATCCGCTTGTAAGATAAAATTTGATTAACTTAGTTTCAAAAACATCTCACCACAGATCCTACGTTTATCTATGCAGAAACTGTGATTTCCTAATTTCTTATCTAAAACGGTTTTCTCGTTTCAAAGATAATCGAAAGTATAGTATTGATTAAAGATAAAACACATTTGTAATATATAAATAAATATAAATTTTATTTTATAAATAGATTTTGTAGAATTAAATTAGATTTAAAATTTATTTTTTAGCCTAATAGAATAATTTTAACAAAATTTATGTTGGTTGATTATATCATTCAATCTCACTTTACAAATATATGGATATCCAATAAATTTTTACACACATTTTACATCTATTATTTCAGCATCAATCTTTATTTTTCTTTATAAATATAAAAAGTTAACTTTTTAATAACTCTAAAAATACGTTGTCAATTGAAGTGGTGTAAAAAAAAACATATTTCTATATTAAAATCCCAATTGAAAAATTTCGCCCCCATTTGATGGTATAAACAGTATTGATGCTACGGCCTGATGTTGTTGACTTGAACTATACTTTACTTTCACAAATCATTACTTAATTATACCATTTCTCACTTTCGTAGAGGATTTACTTATCTGCATTTCGCTTTCACAGTGTACAATGCTGACTTCTTATTCCTAACCACACTTCTCAATCACATGCCTTTAATTCAAATATTGCGTTTGGTGTGGAATTTTTTAGTGACAAGGTGAAAGAAAAAATGCTCTTTTGTTTGACGTAAAAGGTGAGACTAAAATTACAAACAGTGGTAATAGTTTATGAGTCTTACAATTTCCCATTCCTTTTTCAGACGATTTAATATGGAATAAGAAAAAGGGTAAATCATAACTCTTTCACTTTTTTTTTTTCCTTTCCTTTATGCTTTTATCTTACCAAATAAAACCTAAAGGGCTTGCACAAAATTTTCAGTGTTTGGAATTCGCGGGTTGCATCAAAGTCACCAAAATCTAAACTACAGAAAAAAAACAAAAAAAAAAAACCGTCCTATGAATGGAACAGTAACCCCAACAACACCTGACTTCAATAATTGCTACGTTATCAATGTTTGTTGACCATTACAAGGAGTTAGCAGTTCATATTTTATGAACACAATGCAACTTCATTATTATATGTTTTTTTTCTAAGGTAGAAGATTGATCTTGGACCATTTCCAACCATATCCTCTATCGGATAACGGATTCAGGTCCAATTATAAACAATGATGTAAGAATGGATTTCATTATTTGAATATTAAAATATTTTTTGAACGAAATATATAAATGAGATAATATGCTAGTTGTTTAAATCCTGATTTCATGTAGCTTGATCATTTTTCTCTAATCTCCACGTGTTTTTATCTTCATTTCCACAAAGTCATCACAAAAGAAAAAACTAAAATTTCTAGTTAGATATATAAATAAAAAATTGCTTTTTATTAATGTACAAGGAAACAATGATATAAAGTTTCTTTTGGATATAAATCCTAATCTTTAATTTCTATCAAATATAGAGGCGTACATGTTTTCAACAAGTACAAATTTGTATTTTATTGAATACCCTGTATGTAGTCGATACTAAATGTGGATCGAAAAGCTTAAAATGTCAGCAAGACCATAAACCTAAATTTTGCATATTGGAGAAGATCTAAATGGAGCAAACTCTCATCTTTATCAATACAACGTGAAGTTTAAATATTATAAGTAATTTTGTTTTTTATTTTCAATATAGAATTCACAATCAAACAAAGTGATTGAAAAAAATAATTAAATTTTATCAATCTTATTTCTCTATTGATTTGATTTTGAATAGATCTAAACTTTATTTTTCGTTTTCATGTTTTATTCAAGGTAAATTCACAAGCCAATTTTGATTAACTTTCCAAAATATTGATAAAAATATCAATTTTTGTAAAATATAATGATATTTGACAACATTTTTTTATAATATTTTAACATCCTGAGATATCATTATATGATTGGTAAAAAATTACTTCACAATTAATAATAATAGTTTTAAACACTAACATAGATCAATCACGTAATAACATGTAAATGATGTTAAAATGCTATAAAAAAATATTTTAAAATATCATTATCCTTTTGTAGAACCGGCCATAAATATTGAAAAAAAAAACTGCGCCCTGAATACTAATTAAATTTTAATCCCACACCATTTCAAAGACAACAAAATAATTAAAACGCATTAAATATTTGACCATTTGACTTTGACCGGTTTAGTATTATATCAGAAAACATGGCCATGGTGATACTCTGCATCACCGCCATGTGAGATGCTTCAAGAAACAAAGCAAGCAAGAAACACAGGAAATGGGAAGCCTGGAAAATTAGAAGAGAGAAGAAAACCCTTTACATTGTATACGATGATGTACGTAACAATATGAGAAAACAAAAACAAAATAAAATAAAAAAATGTAATCATCCAGGATTGGATCTGTGGATTTGATTGTGTTCCGGAGGTATCAAACGGTCGGAGGTTGATGACAAATCCTTGGATGGTGAATCTGTTGAAGCTGTAAACTTTTGAGAGCGGGTCTAGCCGTACCCGATCTCCTTTTCCAGAGACTATCCAATTCTTTTCCTTCCTCCAACTTGGGAACTCTTTTCACCACAGGCAAAGGAGGATCCATGTCTTCAATGCTCATCATGCAAACGACATTGTTGTTGTTCTCACTCTTGAGAAACTTTTGGTTTCTGGGCTTATCCGAAAGCTGTTGCCTTGATCTGCAGCTTGGGATGGCGGCGGCGGCGGCGGCGGCAGTGGTGGTTTTGGGGGTGGTAACGATGAAGTTTTTCCCCGAGAAGAGTCTTCTGAGTTTGGAGTATTTGAGAGATGGGGAGGATGTGTTAGTTTTGTTTGAGAAAGAAAGTCTGTGAGAGGGAGGGATGCCAGCTATTTTGTTGTTTCTCTTGACCTGACCCATGCAACTGATTCTTGGGGATAAAGGGTCGTTGGCGGAGGGAGCAGAAGGGTCTCTGAACCGTGGCATGGTCACGTCTTTGATGGTAGGTCGTGAACAGAGCATTGGAAGGAATGTGCTTTTCTGATAGTAAAACTGATGCTGCTGATGGTTTTCATTGCCCATATTAATATATTGATAGTTTTATTGAACAAATCAGAGAGAGAGAGAGAGAGAATTGGAAAATGTCAAAGCAAATGGTTTTGGCTAGGTCTTTGGGCGTTGCAATCAGAGACACAGTGAGGTGTGAGAGTTTGAGCTTGTCAAATATGTAAGTTTTTGTGTGACTTTTACTGGGACTAAAGAAAAGAAATGCAGAAGGAAGAAGAAGACAAATGATTGCAAAGGAAGAAGGCTGATGGAAGAGACAGGACCAGTCTGGAATTGTATATTGGTTTTTCTTTGGAATTTAGCAAAAAATTAGGTTTTGTCTGTCTGATTAAACTCTGGAAGAGACTAATGATTCCAGCTTGCAATTGCATCTGGTTTCTCTGGTTGTGAGATCTGAATCCTAAGGAAGTTTATTTTGATAATGGGATCTGAATGCTACTATGATATAGGTGGAGCCACCACTTGTCCCCTTTATGCTTCCTCATTTTTTTAACTTACAAAGGAAACAATACTCATAGAGTTATGGGATACGCATTCATAATATCTTATTATTTTGCTCACTCACCACTCCCAACCCAATACAAAACGTGCAATAATTTCTCTAAGTACAACAATGTTTTCTCACCATCACCTACACCAAAACCTTTCCAATAATTACCCATAATACTATGCTATCTCAAATTTCTTTCATTTTCCAACGTTTAATTAAAGTTACAACCAAGTTTCTCCTTTTTATAATTCAATTACAACTTCAAATAATCTTAGTCATTTTAACACATATTATGAGGAGAGCCACGTTTTTTTATCAATAAGGCAATTTGTTCAGACTCGGGAGAGGGTATTAGGAAAAGTAAATGTTAGTCAAATTTTAATTTTAATAAACTCATATTATAATATAGAAAGAAAAAGAGTAAGATTTTAAAAAATAGATAAAAGGAAGAAAGAAATACAATTTTTTACGTTTCATTTCATATGAGTTTATACTAAATTGAATAGTGTTTTAACCCAACAATATCCATTGAGAAAGACGTTAATTAGCGAACTGGAACCTACTTTTAATGTAATTTAAAAGTGTACAAAATGAGGCGGGATTAAAAATTTTTGTAAATGAAATATTTTTAAATCGATATTTCGTGAGTATTAATTAAAAAGTAAAACAGAAACTTTTTAATAGAAATAAAATAATAATATATACAATCATTAAACCTGTTAATACCAGCATTTTAAATAATTTTAAAAAGAGGTTTACGTGTTAAGCAAAATTAATGTGATATTTTGATTAAATGATAGTTTTCACTTTATATTTTTAAACAATACAATCAAATCAAGCAATATTAAATGTTGTTTGATACTTATTAAATTTTCAAAGTTTTTAGAATTAAAGAAATTAAAAGCTGATGTATTTTACATTACAAGTGAATGAGAAGAGTTGATTTAAATGATAAACTAAAGAGAAATTAATTGTAGTCAAAATTGAAGATAGTATATAGAATAAAAAATTAAATATGGTGAGAGGGGGTGGTATGGGTTCAAATTTTTAGACGTGTAAGTTTGACTTTTTGTTCCACGGTCAAAGTACGGTAATGTTTCGCGGTGGTTCCACTTTTTCCTCACACTCCTCTTACAAAGCAGTGTATTATTACTCCAACCATTAACGTGGACAAAATGATATATATTGAACTAAACCGTTAAAAAGTAATGGTCGTGAATAAAATGCAGTTTAACTGATCTAATTATTTTTTGTTTTATTAAATTATATTCCATTGAAAATGGTTAATTTATATTTTAACATTGAATGATTAATTTCGTTTGTAATTTGGGCTAATTTTTATCACAATTGATTGAGTTAAATTTGGATGAATTTTGATAGAATTCATTTGATAACACATTTTACATTTTGATTGTAGCTAATTTAATAGAATTTGATCAAATTTTGGATATAACCGATTCAGTCACGGTTAGGACTGACTAAATTTAATTAAATTTAGTTTAAGAGTATCTCAATCAAATTTAAATATAGATTGATTAATTAATTAAATTTGATCAAATTTCAATCAGGATTAACTTAGTTAAATTCTTTTGGGATTAACTTAATCGAATTTGATTGGGATCGATTCGGTCGAATTCAACCAAATTTTGATCATGATAGATTCAATCAAATTTAATCAAATTTTTATCGAGATTGACTTTTTGATAAATTTGATTAAATTTTAGTCAAATCGATTAGATTAAATTTAGATAAGCTTTTGATAAAATTAGTCAGACTTTAATCGAATTTCAATAAAAATATTTCGTAAAATTCAACTAAATTTTATCGTGACTGAGTTTATTGAATTCAAATATATTTCGATTCATTAATAAACAATTAACGGAAAGATAATTTTAAAAATTTAATTTTTTAAAACTGATTTATATAAAATGATTCAGTTTATCTTTTGCTGTAAATAATTCATGATTTTTAATATAGAATGATAGACTTTATTTGAGAGGTGAGTTGAGTTTAACTAATTTTATTCACTACTTAATTTTACCTTTTGCCACGTTTAGCTTTTACAAAAAAATGAAAATCAGATATATTGATGTAATATAATAAAATCTTAAATGTAATCATAAAGCATACACATAAAAAAAGTTAATGTTACAGTGTACTTAAGTTGGGTGGCTAAATACTATATTGTTAAAAAATCATTTTTTATTATTTTAAATAGTAAATAATAGACACTTTACTATTTAATTTCTAATAATATATTAAAATATAATTTCAGATGTAGGATGGATTGAAAATAAATAAGTAATTATTATGGGTTGAATAAATCTATCTATCTATATATCTATATATAAATAAGATTTTTTTTTTCGTGTTTACACTTTGTTTTCCAATTTTATTGTTTAGATTAAGTTTTTTAAAATCAAAATAATTATTTCATGAATTTTATCTTTTAAGTGATTATTTATTTAAATTTAATTGGTTTTTTATTTAATTAATTTTTTAATTATAAAATTACCTAAAAAGTAAATAAAAATATTTACAATATAATTATGAAAATTATTTTAATTTTATAATTATAATAATTAAAAGAATAACAATAATGATAATAATTTTATAATTTTTATTATCATACAAAATATGAACATTTATTAGTATATATAAAGAAGATTCTCCATTTTTATATTCACATTTATTTTTTAATTTTATCTTTTAATAAATGTTTTTTGTTAAATTAAAATAATTACTGTAACATTCCAAAAATACAGTAATAAACCATACATTAGAAATAATTACAATTAGTAATATATCAGTTCAGTCTTATACTAATCAAGCATACGATCTTGGCCGAACGGCCTTACATAGAGCTATAAACTTAACTGCACAAGATAAACAAGACTAGACCGAACGATTTACAAAAGGGGTTACCGAACGGTCATTCCTACAAAAAAAAAAAGGTGACCGAACGACAACTTACACTAACTAAACTATACTACTAACCGAACGTTCTACGGTTCGGCCTTAACTTCAACTTCTACGAGATTCTCTTCCTCCAAATTTCCTTCTTCCAGCGCCTCTTCCAGTAGCGCATCTCCTTCTGCTCACATCTACACGGATGATCATTGCAACGACAAGACGAACGTACAAGACGAGACAACACAAGGAACAACACAGGGTAAACTTATGTAATTTAATTCAGTTACAAATCATACAATTCATACATCAATACAGAGACAAAGTTAACAAAACACTTCAAGCAAGGCCTACTACTAGACCGATCGTCCGGACTGTATGACATCTGTGTAGCTACGACGTTCGTGTACCCGGGTGATGTAGTAACTGGAATATTCCCATCAGCTGCCACCCGAGGTTAGTCCTATCTGTCCAAAGTACCCCTAAGGACTAGGACCTCCTGTCGTCCCCACACATGACCTACTCTCCTCTACATGAGGACGAGTACTCACGGAACATCAGGATGAATCGACAGCTTAGCATTACCACAGTCATACTTTACAACTATCAAATATTCACTCATGAGTCGTTCTTCCCCGGAACGCTCGTTCAAATCCACAATCTTTCATTCATCTCATATACTCTTCATCTTTTATAAATCTTCACTTTAATGCCATTTTTATCACAATTTTCAAGAACGTCAAATACCAAACGTTCAACCCTCTTCAGAACGAGGACGAACGATAGGAACGAGACCGTGAAATCTCTCTTTCCAGAATAGAATAAGACTGAAGGGGTTACTTTCAGATTTAAAATAAATTGAGTACGGTTACACAATATGTGACGAACGTTACTTACAACATGAATCAGTTAAATGAACTGACTCTCGTGAACTAAGATTAACACTCGAAGAATACATCCGGTACGGGGAACTCTAGGTCGGAGGCAACGAAGGTAGACGTGCCAAGACGTTTAAAGAACCAAACGTAGAATAATTAATACATGTATGTGTGTGTGTGTGTGTGTGTGTGTATATATATATATATATATATATATATATATATATATAGAGAGAGAGAGAGAGAGAGAGAGAGAGACTAAGTGCTGGTCAATGACTGAACACGGTAAAGGAGATTCTACTGAATTTGGACGAACGTTGTTTCATCCCGATTAATAAGTTAAAATGGTTACGAGCGCTCGGTGTAAGACCGAACACCAATCATTATGAGAGAGTGAGTTGAGACTATCACTAATTTGAACTTATAATAGGAACATTGATAATAATTATGATAAGACACATTTGGAGACGGTGTTGAAGAATAACTAAATATACAATTATCTGTTTACAAGATTTTCAGTTCCTCACTTAACACTCAAGTACATCTATGTTCGGCCGAACGCTCAAACATAGTACTATTACAAGAAAACGCTCGTCCTCCACTAGAACTCTTCCCAAATGAAAGAATTCAATTTCAAAAGAGTTTACAAGGAACACTGAACGGTCAAAGACCGTTCAATGTCGAACGTTCAATATCATAGGAAAATTTCTTATTTGAACTCACTTTCATTCTAATTCATTTCTCAGCGTATATAACTTCATAATTTCATACTTTCCTATCATAGCATATTTCATATTATTCATACATCAACTCATAATCATTATCATATATCAAATAATCAACATCACAAAGTCATGCTTCATGCAACTCACAGAACGTCCATGCAACTCAGTAAAAACATATGAATTAAATTGAATAAGCTTCCCTTACCTCTTCTGTGAACGGACGTCCTAACAACACAACACGTTAGCCTGATTGGATTCCCTTCTACTCTTACGTTCCACAACTCTTAAACTAACCAAACAGTCAAAAACAAAAAATGGTTCAGACAACATAACAGCATGAAACCGGTACTTGGTTTGCATGTACCAGAAAACGAACGAGTGAAGACGAAGAGATTTACCAGTTTCAGAACTTAAAGCTAATCGGTTCGATTTGAAGCTTGGGACGCCGGGAGTATTCCTACGGTGCCTGAACGATGATCGGGGCAGAAAAAGGTGAGTTACAGTAGAGAGAAGGAAGGGTTTTCTA